GGGTACTAACATAGCCTACAATCTAAGTTGTGCGGACTCTTCACTTTTGATGTCGTACCCGTGTCAGGTTCTCCAAAAATACACTACTTCTGGAGAATCTGACACGCATCCGTTGACATTTTTGAAGAGTCCGAGCAACGTAGCCTAGAACTATAGTCCTAGAAGATCTTCATTAACATTATGAAAAACTAAACATATACTAATCAATAATCCTTAGCATGGAAAAAGTGAAAAAGATTGTTCCATGCTAACTTTCCTCCCTGCAACATTGATATTGCTTAGTTTCCTCTGGCACCAGATCAAATAATCTCTCCTTAATCTTGGTAAACTTAGCACTCTTGATACCAATTTTAGCTCCACGAGTGACGCGAATAATGAATGACTCAATCGTCGTTCTTGCTGTTTTTGGAACTTCTTCACTATGCAATTGCCACTTCTTTGTACATCTTTCAACTTCCTCTCCTTCTGCATAGAGAATATCAAGTGATTCACAAAGTTTAGAAACTAAAATCGCTACAAAAAAACTGGAATTAGCTATGAACTTCATCAACATGTTGTTGTTGTTGTGAAAGGTGTGGCGTATCTATGAATAAAGATAGACTAACCTTTTGAAGGTCTAATTTAACATTCATAAAAAGCTCGATTTCTGCATTGTCCATTTGAGTTCTTTGAACGCCCTTTAAGGCCAAATTAGCTTCACGTTTATCAGCACAAAGAAACTCCCAGAAAACTTGCATTGTCTCCTTAATAACTTCGCCCAATTTCACAATGGAAATGACATCTTTTTCCTCTTCTCGTTCGCCCTTCTTTCCCTTAAAACGATCATCTGCTAGACAGTCAAAGTATTCCTCGTTACAGTGAGTCAAGGTATTTTAATAACAACTCAATGAAAAAATGCATACCTCTTATGCTCGGGACTTGAAGAAAGCTACGGAGAATGCACCTCTTCCTGACATAGTTTTGGACTCGTGGTCCTTGAAATGGCTCATCCTCGACAAATCTTTGTAAAAGTACTTGAAATTGCTGATATTCTCCGGCCACTTGGTTATATGTGTGATACTCGTGTGGATCATGTTCAAGCAAGTCCTTGGCTTTACCATATTGCCAATAGAGAATTTCCCATGATAAGCAAATTTGTCCAACATATACAATTTCCAAGTCTATATTCATTTCACTAATGGATTTTTGTGCAGGATCAGCAAAGATCTTCCTCTGTTTGTTTGCCAAGAAGCTTGGTAAAGCAAAGGCTTTGGTTATTGAAATCGATGTTTTTTTTCTTGACATAAACATTTCGGAATCCTTAAGCTGAAGAAAACCTATATTAAAGAGTAAAACATCAGAATCACCAGTCTAGGACTCATAAAGAACCAAGAAGCTAATTTGAGGTCAATGAATTCACCCCTAGACTATGCGAAATAGAACAATTTCACCCTCTGTTATTTAGCTGCAATGATAATTATGGGTATTTAAAATCAAAACTTTATATAAATGCCGCTAAAGGCTAAAGCGACTCTGGATGCAACAACATTAACTCAATAGCCGCTAAATGTTTTTGCGACATTAAAATATTGTCGCTAAAAGATAAATCTATTGCAACTAAATGTCTCTTTTGTTGTAGTGTATAGACTAACCACAACAACTAAAGGACAAACTTAGACCATTCACAAAGTTCAAGGGCAAATTCGACCATTTTATTGCGGATGGAAAAGTAGTTGTATTTTGGTCCATTTACCCTTCTTTTTATTGTTTCTTGTTTTGACAATTCTTATTTTTGTGTAATTTTTTCTTCCATTTAAAGTCCAAGATGAAAGTGGTTGTGGGGTTATGCTATTCTCCCTAAAACAGCAATTTGGTTAGGCCAAGAAAATTGGAACCAAGTGGAAGGACCAAAAAAAGGTCTGTTGAGTGGCATTAAAAGCCATTGATAATTGCATGACATAATTGGAAAAGGGACAACAAAAGCACCCCTTTAGGCATTTGATAATGGCAACTTTCAAGAAGTGGTGATTATGTCACACTGGTCTTTTCAAAGGATCAAATGGTCAAAAATATTATAAATTACTACTTAGTAGACAAGACAATAAGCATATGATATTAAGTTCAATCTTCATAAACATAAATTTGGTGGTTCAGAATGATCATTAATGATTTTTTTATTGAGTTAGCTGAAAATGACATTACAAGATTATTTAATAGTACTGAAATGGACAGAACACAAGACACATAATTGTTATACCCCAAACCAAAATGTAACAATTAAAGATGGAAGGGGGATAACGTATACGTAGACTATGTAGAGAGGTTGTTTCCGATAGACACTAGACTCGAGGAAACGCATATCAAAACAGAAACTATAGAAATTATGGTAAAGATAATCGAATGTAGTGATGGTTTCAGAGACTTACTGATAGCATTCAATGTCTGGTAATTCAAGATGTCCAATTTTCTCATTTTTTCAGCATAGCTCTTGTAAAATTTCTGAATTTCTTCTATACAATATTTGTATCCAATCTTTTCATCAATTTTCAATGGCTTCAAATCTTCTACTACCTTAGGAGATTCATAATCTTCTGATATAGTAGGCAGACCTGTAATTCTTGAATTTTTCATTTCCATTTTCATCTGCCTGACTAAATTCTGATGTTCTAATAAGATATCATCATCGTCATCCGAATCTGAATCAGTATCCCATAATTTTCGACTCGAATTATGATCTGGAGAATCTTGAAAATCATCCATTTCCTCATAGTTCACATCTGTTTCCTCAATTCTGTCAACATTTTGAGAAGCAAAACCATCTGTATCCCATGATTTCCGACTCGAATTATGATTTGGAGATTCTTGAAAATCATCCATTATCTTCATTTCCTCATAGTTCACATTTGTTCCTTCAACTCTGTCAACATTTTGAGAAGCAAAACCATCCATATCCAATGAGTTTCGACTTGAATTATGATCTGGTGATTCTTGAATATCATCCATTAACTTCATTTCCTCATAGTTCACAGTTGTTCCTTCAACTCTGTCAACATTTTGAGAAGCAAACCCATCCATATCCAATGAGTTTCGACTCGAATTATGATCTGGTGATTCTTGAATATCTTCCATTAACTTCATTTCCTCACAATTCACATCTGTTTCCACAACTCTGTCAACATTTTGAGAAGAAAAAACATTTATATCCCATGATTTTCGACTCGAATTATGGTCTACAGATTTTTGAAAATCATTCATTAACTTCATTTCCTCACACTTCACATCTGCTACTTCAACTCCATCAATATTTTTAGCATCAAAATCACCTTTACCAATAGAAGAACTTGAACTATGCAAAGAAGTTTCCAATTCAATAAACCCCATATCATCATTTTCTTCTCTATCACCTCCCATAAACTGATCACTCTTCAAGAACCCATGAAGATGCCTATCAGAACATAATTCATCTCCAATACCCTCAGACCCTCGAATCGAATTTCGAATTAAAGACTCATTCTCAGGAAGCAATTGAATTTCATAACATATATCTTCTGAATCCTGTGTTTCCTCATCACTAGAAAATTCATCATTTTTCTTCAAAATCTCTTCAAAACAATGATTATCAACATGTTCCTCCCCCTTTTCATCAAAAAATTCCAACTTTTCTTGATCATTTACATTTTTTTCATCAAAAAACTCTGATTTTTCTTGATAAACACTTCCATTTTTGAAAAAAGAGAAATAAAACAATTTATCATCAGAATTCTTATCAATCTCTTTTTCTTCTTCATCTCCTTCATTAACATTCACAAACATTTCTTCAACTGAAAAACTTTTAACTTCTGGTTTCTCCATAAAACCAAAAGAATCTTTCCCAGATATAAACTCATACTTACTCTGAACCAAAAAAGAACTCTCTTTTTCCACACCCTTCTCATCAAAATCTAATCTTTTCTGATTTTTACAGTCCATTTCATCATTTTCATCAACAACCCTCCTACAAAAATAAAAAAAGACACAAACTTTAAGCAAATAAAACCTAAAATTTCAAAAAAGATAAAGAAAAAAAAGCTTCATATAACCATACCTGTTCTCCAAGAAAAAGTAAATCTTGAAAACAAACCAACAGAAGAAACCCCAAAGTGAAGTTAAAAACCAAGTCATTCTTGTGTACATAAATTGATTCAAAAACATTTTTATTAAAGTGGCTTTTGAGCAAAAACTCATGATTTTCCCATGTATACAAGTAAAGATAAAGAGAAGACAAATATAGTAATCTTAAATTTTCATAGGAGAAAGTGAAGAGACCACTAAATCCTAAGCATCTGTTAAATCAAGAATTGGTTTTTTAGTTTTTTGGGAAGCCTAACATGTTGGCAAAGATTGAGGGAGAAATTGAGAAGAGAAGTCATGAGAGTGAAAGATTAAAATTGTATATAAATGAAATACAAATTTGTATGCTGAGGTGTGCTAAATGGGACATTGATATTTTTCGGGTCTTTGTTTGGTAAGTGAGATAAGAATAGTAATCTGGAGGAAATATTTGGTATTTATTTTATTTTATGTTTAATTTAAGATGATAGTAATTAATTTTAAGATTATTTTGTCTCATATTACTATCTCAAATATATATTTACTTATTCTATTTTTTCATTAAACAATCCTTTGAGGGTGTGTTTGGTATCGAGAACATATATTTTTATTTTTAAAGAGTCAAACATTTCAGAAAAAATGACTTTTCTAATGATAATATGAAAAACAAGTATTACAGATAATATTATAAGTTCATTATTTTCTCATTACTCATCAAAACGTCTCCAATTCCCACCTCTTGATCATCTACTCCCGCACCATACTCTCCACTTATCTCATCTACATAATATTTTGCTAAATATATATAAATACTCTTAAAATAATATTTTTCTACTTATTTGCATAACGATAAAAAAATATTTTTCAACTTACCAAAAACACCATAAGTTATATACACAAAATAGATACTCAACTTATTCTGCCTATTATAAGAGGTACAACTAATTTACTTTGATATTGATATTATAAATATCATATTTTTTTTCAAAAATTATTTATAAATATTCTTTAGACAATTTGATGATATAAAAAATTTCAGACAGACATAAAATTAAAATTTTAAATTTACTAATTCTGAACTTGTCATTAAACTTATAGCACGTCTTAGTAATTACTGTTAGATATTAAATAATTTTTTATACAAATATATAAATATAAAATTATTAAATTTGTCCGAACCACGTATGATACTTTAGTTCCGGTCTGATTACACTATGTATGTAATTTAGATTCTTCTTGAGAAGTTTGCATCGGTTAAAGATTTTGGATGGTTTTGGTGGGTCTTTCTTTTTTCGGTTTGTTTTCACTTAATATTTGACACGGTCCTCATAAATATAATTTTAAACTTGGTTTCAATGAACAACTATGCCTTTCAATTTTGAGTATAGACAAGTATGTATTTAAATTTGTATAAAATAGAACAAGTAAACATACATATCTTACATTGTATAATACGCGTAGGATGCAAAATTGTCATGTAGAGTGCCATTTTTGTAAATTATGCATTTCTTAGGTGAAGCAGAAAGAGTCAAATTTAGTTAACAATGAAGAAAGTTGTGAGTTGTGACATTTTTTTTTCTTTTTTTTCCTTCTTCAAATCTAACATGTATTCAATTATCAAAATTATTGACTCGATTAGTTTAGAACGCATTAAATTTAACTTACTATGAGAATAACTAAGTCAAATTGCGTCAAATAGGCATACTATGAAAATAACTTAACTAATTCATGGCATGGCAAGTAGACTTACTAAAAGGATAAAAATGTTTTTGCCAATAAGTTCCTTAGTTGAAAAAATAATTAATTTAAGATATCTAATTAAAAATAGAACAACTTGAATCAGGAATAGATCCAATATTACGATACTGGAGTTGTCTAAATTTAGTATTTTTCATGTGAAACACAAATTTATATGTAAAACTTAATATAAACTTACATTAAATAGTATATATGAATTCATTACGTACATTAAACATTTAAAAAAAATCAATAAAATTTAAATTATGAATCCGTCATTAATTCAACTATTTGTTTGCGTCTCATTTGGTCATAAAGGCGTGTTTGATTGTTTGCTTTTTGGAATGTTGCATTACACTTCTTTTGGGTGGTGCTTTGGACCTAGTCAAAGACGTGAAGACTCATTTTTTAGTACTAAAAGGGAAAAAAGGACTAGAAACAATAAATTAAATGTAATATATTGTTTGCATTAATTTTCTAGTAAGAAAATTCACGTGAATATAGTTACTAAATAAGTAAATTAGAGGTTGAAATTGCAAGAATCCAAAGTTTTTTCTCTTTACTTTTTTTCTAATAATGGTTGAGGTTATATCATATATGTATCGAATTAAATTTCACTAAGATCCAATAAAAGGTAAGTCACTTATGTTGAGATTAGGGGTAAGTCATTTATATATTTTGATATAATATAAATATAATAGGGGGACTACATATAGAAAAATTAGTGGGTAACTTAATAAGAATTAAATCTTGGAAATGAATTAGCTATATGGACTATATATATTCCTTTCACATCTAAATTATAGTATATATTTAGCATCAAATGTAATAATTTGAAATATTTCGAACAAAAAATAACTGTTAAAGTGAAGACTTTTATGAGCCGATAAATTAATGAGGAATATATTACGATCCTTTTTCGTTTTTACGTGCTATTAATTGACAACTAATTTTGCCAAACAAAAACAGGTAGAAAAAGGCTATAGAATTTGGCAAAAAGATTTTGGTATAAAATATCAAAAGTCATAAAATCAATGGATTGAATTTCTCCAGATAAGGTAGAATTAGATTCCAACTCCACAAAAAAATTCAAAAAATAATAATAATTTTTTTTGAAATTATGACATCCACTTAATAACCAATATGAGTATTTGGTGCAACTGAACCAATTTGTTTGGCTATTCACATTAATTTGGGTCGTTGTATTTACTTAAACAGAGAAATGAATTAGTTTAATTTATGTTTAATTTGTTAGTTCAACACTAACTCCTCCATATAATTTTTATTGGAACTAGTCCTAATCCATTGATAACAAGTGGAGAGAAATAATACCATGTCTTATGGTTTCGTGTCAGACATTTGATTAATTTGAATTCATGTTGTGTAATGTCCATTAAAGGAGAAACATTTCTTAACCTGATTATTTCTATACTCTAAATCTAAAATTTAGACCTCTGATTAAAGATGAAGAAATCTTATCTGTCACGCCACAACTTTTTATATTGATCTTAAATTATATAGAATTTTTTTTCCGGATATGATTATAATATTTCTTTTCCCTTTCAAGATTCCATCTATTGCTGGACTTAATATGGAAAACTATAGTAAAACATCTTACAATTTTTTCCAAAACTTTCTTACTGTGAGACATACAGAAGGAGATTTTTTTGTTTTACCAATTTTATACACTTCCTATTTTTTCATATCAACCAAACACTACCTTACTGAGACATCAATTTATTTTTTTTCCTTTTAATATATTTGCTATTTGTGACATTACCAAATAAATTACTTATACAAGTTAACGTGTGAGAAGGAAAACTCAATTAAACCACAGTGATTAAAAAGTATATTATTTAGCATCAGACTAATTAATTTAAGATTTTGATGGGGGATATCTAATATTTTAACTTAATTTTATGCATGCGTGGGAATAAATACTTTATATTCCTAAGTAGAGATCTCAAATTTGAGTTCCAAAAATGAAATTATCTTTAGCGGGAAGTATTTTACACCCTTAAGGCGGAACTTTTCGGTGCGAGTCTTATTTAATCGTTTATCCTTTAATAGAAGTAGAGTCAGAATTTAAAATCTATGAGTTTTGAATTCTGACTTTTTTTAAAATTACTAAATTCTAAATTAATACTATATGTATATATTTCAATATATTTTTTTTTTACATAAATACAATGTTGAACCAAAACTACTAAAATCATTGAACACATAATCAATACTCTAACTCTAACCTTGTCTTTCATATGAGACTTTTCTACGCGGGTCTAAATTAGTTGCTCGCCTCTAAGATGAATTTTTCAACATAACGATGAATAATCAAGTTTAAATTAATTCAATTCAAAAATGAATATCGAACATCAAATACGAAACAAAGAAACATGAGTCATGCCATTGAGTGGTGCAAAATGTAGATAAAAGATGATGAATTCAATAACCGCCCCCGTGACCCATCGTTGTCACAAATAAACAACCGTTAGCATGCTTGTGATATGCATGAATTATAACCAAAAACGGCATGAATAGAAACAAGTAGTATTTCCATATGTTGATGTTCAATTACCAAACAAAACTAATACATCCGTCGTTTTAATTTGTCTATCTAATTTTAATTTATCATAAAAATTAATAAAGAATATGTCAAATATACTAAAAAATTCTTTAATCTAGTAATCTTAACGTACCAAATTGGTCTAATTTAAAGAACATTTTGACACATTTAATATATTTTTAATTTAAAAATATAAGATTTAATTTTTATTTTTTTTACTCTTAACCCCTAATCTTATATGGGTTGAAATGAGCTGGTCATTAACTCGTTCAAATTAAATTTGTCACCCCTAGCCATAGCATTGTCCCCATATACACCATTTACATTTTACACCTTTTCTTTTTCTTTCTTTCTTTTTGTTGATAAAGGGTCGTCTGATAACTAGTTAGAGTTACGTATGTATTAATAATATACGAATTAATTATGAGAGGATTTATATATATATATATATATAAAACTTACATTCTAATTGATTATTAAACATGATATGCAAGATTTAATAAGTGTATAACTCATCTTCAAATCATCTATCAAATACTTTCTAATCTAATTGTAAATAGACCGATAATTTAGTAATGAGCTATGTCTATATCTCTCATGTCTAGAGTGTCAAAACAAATGTTGGAATGAAGTTAATTAAGGCTACACAATAGGTAGGTGAAGGAGAAGCACGAAAGTTGAAGTTAGAATGAAATTAATTAAGGCTACACAACTAATGCTTGCATCAAATTGACACCTATACTATTCTCTTCGTTTAAAAAAATGACATATTTCTATATATAATAATTATTTAATTTTAAAATATTTATTTTATTCTTAATAAGATGACTTATATTCATACAGACATATATGACTCATTTTAGATCATAATTTTTTTTTAAAATATATTAAATTTTATGTCAAATCAAGTCAAATCATATCACATCAATTAAAACGGAGAAAGTACCAAATTGCACAAACTTCCATTGAAGCTATTACTATCATTGGTGAGTGTAATAGCTTGGGACAAGTCATGATATATCATT